GCCAGCCTACTTTGGATCCCTTGTCTAATTTTATTTTACTAAATATTACTGAACCATCATGCTTGTTGGTTACCTGAACAAGTTATCTTTTGATATACTATTCCTATTAGCTCTCCTTATTTTCCTTGGTAATTAGTATTTAGAGTAACAGATAATAAAGTTGGATTTTATTTGAGTCCTAAATTATATATATATATATATATATTTGTGTGCGTTTTCGGACAGGTCATTTGTCATATCGAACTGTAAAAAAATCGTGTATGGTCAGTGATAAGATTATCGATTAATTATGCAAATACACATAGGAAAATGGTTACTAGCATAATATGCGTGGAAATTTTAACGTTTTCGTAGAAAAACTGTGCAGATATAGAATGCAAGAGAATATGATATAGGATGATTTGCGCCTTATTGCGTTTTCCAGTTTATCAAACGAATTTGACTTCAATTAGAACTTTACAAATTCGCCATCATAATGGGTCACGGCAAGTAAGTTTGCGTTGAATTGGACTCAATCATGAATTCCACTGATTCACAGCATTCATTTACAAATTTCCTGTACTATCATGAATGGAGGCTACAGATCCCGGGATATATGATGATGAGGGGTTTAATTCCAATTGATTACCTAAAATATGCAGAAGTTCATCCGGTCTCGGAAGATGTTTTGATTCTAACTTTGACCAGACAGGCATGTCTAAAGTTGTATAATAGATTAATGGGTGAACGAATAAAATAAAAAGTATTGCAGGCATTTATACCATTAAGGAAAATTTCAAATGCACCAGTAGAAAGTAGTTGGCCTTCAACAATATTGCCGATCACAAAGGCCATCAGGCAAAACGAAATCTATGAATTATAAATCTTACATCAAAAATTACCTTGTTTTGATGAGCATAATTTATAAGTGAAGGGGTTGGGAGCCCAAAAGATGGGAACGGATTAAGTCCAGATATGGCTATAAGAATAGAAGTAAATTTGATTATCTGCACAGCCCCTGCAACGAAACTACACCAGGCGGGTGGAGGATGAATCTCACCCTGAATCCATAAACCTGGAAATCTCTGCTGAATTAGTTGAGACATCTCCTCAAACACCCGCCTGTAGCCTCATGAAGAACTACAAATAAAGTATAATGATAAATGAAACAAAGCATATGATATAAAAAATAGTATAATCGTGATGATTGAGAACTCACCAATAACTGAAGCGTACGGTAGGAAGGTTATTTTGAGAAAATTTTATCTTTGGGATATCTTTGTTTGACGGAATTTCTGAGACCACACCAGTCATATCCCTGTATGTAGCGATGATACAGAAAGCAGCAACAAGAGCCCACATCGCGTAGACCGCCATTTTGGAAATAGAAAAGGAAATAAGAAATTTTTTTATTAAAAAGTAAAGAATGCATGAAATCACACAGCATTACATAAATAATTTTATAGTTCATAAATATTTTAATGTATCTTCATCTAAAGCAACTCACCATTTCACTATATATGTATATTCCATGATTTTAAGATATTATTATGTAGTAAAATTTATGCTTTAATAACTAGTTATCGAATAAAAAACTAGTTTTTAAAATCCAATACGTCTAATAATTTGAAAAATGCCGAATTAAATATCATAACTATTAATTTTTATTTTGATAGATTATTTATGATGTTAATTTATTTCTAAAGACAATTGAATTTCTA